CTAGAAGATACTACAAATATTTTATCTAATTAGGAAGATTCTATATATATTTTCTCTAATTAAGAAGATTTTATAGATATTTTTTCTAATTACAACATAATGCTATATATTTTATTAAGAGTTATGTTGTAAGTAGGATATTAAATGCATTATCGGATGCTGTTAGAATATTAAATATATTACTAGAAGCTAATAGAAGTTGTTAGAAGATTCAAGAGATCTCTTTGTAGTTATTACTTAGAGTTCTCTATATATATACAGACTAATGTACTGTTTCAAATGAATCAATTGAATAAATTTTATTTTTCTTTTATATTAATTCTTTCAACATAAGTAAAAAAGAAACATAATTGAGTATGTATATGTTTATGTCATGTATATAATCTACATCATAGATAGACCACCTCATCTACATCTATATGGTCTAACGATTTTATCTTTTATCAGGTCGGCCTGTTGGTTGTTGTTTCACCTTTGATTAGAATACATAATGGAACTGGATTTTCAATGGAACTTCAATTCCAGCGGCTTGAGCCAAAGGAAGATGAGTTTGCATCTCTGTTGTTAAGACCAGGCGATTTTATTGATGATTCTATGGCTATGTTTGATGCCATAAACTTCTCTGGGGGAGTAAAGAGGGCTTTAATTTCTTTGAGTGTTGGTATACATTTTCACTATATGTACTTTTATTGACTTTTCCTTTTCATTTCACAACTTTTGTTCTATTCGCAATTCTCAGCTATTCACACCTAGAAGTTATAATCAAGGTTGTCAAACTTGAAAATTAACTTAAACTCATGAAAGCTTGGTAAACTCAAATAGTAAACCCGTTGTCCATTCACTATAATGCATTGTTTTACTACATAAAAGTAAAACATGAATATGAAAGTGTATGTTGCTGCTCTTGGTATTGGTAGCCCTTCTATGCTGGTTAATAATATTGCATTCTCATTCTCAATTTCGTTAGTTCCACTTCTTAACCGTTCAGATATACATCAACACCAGAAAAAGGAAGAAATTTTTAGCTCAAGGGACTTCACAAGGGTCCTCTAGTCATTGGATTTAGTATCAATTTCAAATTATAAATTTAGTATTAGGTTAGGAGGAAAAAGGAAAGACATATAAAACTGATTTTGTTATTGATATGTGTTAGAATCTTTTTATCTTGATTATTTCTATTAAAGTCTTTACTTTTATTAATTATATTTTTTCTTTATTTAGGAGATTATAATTATCAGGTATGATTAGGATATCCCTGAAATATAGGGATTCTTTCTGTAGGAGTTATTATTATACTTCCTAAAATAGCTTTCTAGCATTGTATATATGGATTTGTAATCTCAGCATAATAAGATATACGTGTTACCCTAAATTATGAGATGGCATCAGAGCTCTNCTTTCAATTTCAACCGCTTCACGGCCAAATTGGAAAAGGAACTATACAATTTGCAAGAACACTAGAGGGTTGAGAATCTCCAACACCAAAGATCTGTGGGAGAGTTATTCTCATGCTTCTGATTCAGATTATAGAGCAACATATTTTGGCCTCATTGATCCTAACATGCAGAACAAGATATTTAAAGACTTCAAACAGATGAGGTTGATGGCAGGGAGGAACAAGATGTGGTACGTGCTCTATTACTACCAGCACAACCTTCAATATTTTAAACTTATATTGAGATATCTGCCACAATGATTATAACCAACTCAAACTATTGTCTATTTTCAAAATTGTTTTCCATTTTGTTGGCAGTGGTTATCACACTCACAGCTCTGATTTGTCATCCCTGTTGCCATCTACTCTAGGGTTTTCTATCCTTATAGACAGGGTACAACAGTCACCAATAATATAACCTTACTGCTTGCACTAAATGCAAAACTACTTAAGACAACTATAAGCAATATGTCCAAATTGTTTGCAAGAAAATCATTGGACATGTAGCATATCAAAATCTTTACTTCTTCGGGCAGCGTATGGAGCCCTCACAAGTTCAAGAAAGACAATGTCATGAGACATGGATCCTTGGGTAAGTAAACATTGTTCTTCCCTAAGTTCAGCATCACATATATCAAAAGAAGGAACAAGATTCCTATTTAGCAAGGCACTTTTGACAATCTCAAACTCTAAGCAAAGTCTCATGAGAAATTGATAGAGCTTACTAGTTTCCTAAACTTCCTGGACAATCGAGGTGATGTTTTAGGAATGACAGAATGAGAAGTGGCAAAGTGTTCTATTCACAAACTCAAAAATCCAAAATAATACTCTTCCAGAGACAAATTATCTGTTTGTAAATGTGCTTCAAATGATACTACATTTGTTCAAAAGTTGTAAAAGAGTTCATATTGTAATTAGAGAAGATATCTTTAGAATCTTCCTAATTAGAGAAAATAGATATATAATCTTATATTTTATTTTGTTTACCTAGTTTCTCTTTTTAGGAAAATTAGATTATTACAAATAGAGGATATGAGAATGTATTTTTTCATAATTGAGAATAATAAAATCAAAATCCTATTTTCAACTTGGTATCAGAGCTCCCGATCTTGGGGCTCTGTTCCGCTGCACAGTCACGTCGCCGCCGCCGTTGCCGGTTAGGATCATTGATAGGGCAGAAAGGTGTGCCCGACACCGGCAACCACAACGGCAGCGAGTGGGTCTCGCCAGAGGTAGGCACGTGGGCTACACGCGCCGACGACGGTGGCAGCGTGTGGGCTACTCGCGCTGTTGACGGTGGCGGCGTGTGACGGCTTTTCTCACTGAGCGACTTCCGCCGTTGTGGTTGCCGGTGTCGGGCACACCTTTCTGCCCTATCAATGATCCTAACCGGCAACGGCGGCGGCGACGTGACTGTGCAGCGGAACAGAGCCCCAAGATCGGGAGCTCTGATACCAAGTTGAAAATAGGATTTTGATTTTATTATTCTCAATTATGAAAAAATACATTCTCATATCCTCTATTTGTAATAATCTAATTTTCCTAAAAAGAGAAACTAGGTAAACAAAATAAAATATAAGATTATATATCTATTTTCTCTAATTAGGAAGATTCTAAAGATATCTTCTCTAATTACAATATGAACTCTTTTACAACTTTTGAACAAATGTAGTATCATTTGAAGCACATTTACAAACAGATAATTTGTCTCTGGAAGAGTATTATTTTGGATTTTTGAGTTTGTGAATAGAACACTTTGCCACTTCTCATTCTGTCATTCCTAAAACATCACCTCGATTGTCCAGGAAGTTTAGGAAACTAGTAAGCTCTATCAATTTCTCATGAGACTTTGCTTAGAGTTTGAGATTGTCAAAAGTGCCTTGCTAAATAGGAATCTTGTTCCTTCTTTTGATATATGTGATGCTGAACTTAGGGAAGAACAATGTTTACTTACCCAAGGATCCATGTCTCATGACATTGTCTTTCTTGAACTTGTGAGGGCTCCATACGCTGCCCGAAGAAGTAAAGATTTTGATATGCTACATGTCCAATGATTTTCTTGCAAACAATTTGGACATATTGCTTATAGTTGTCTTAAGTAGTTTTGCATTTAGTGCAAGCAGTAAGGTTATATTATTGGTGACTGTTGTACCCTGTCTATAAGGATAGAAAACCCTAGAGTAGATGGCAACAGGGATGACAAATCAGAGCTGTGAGTGTGATAACCACTGCCAACAAAATGGAAAACAATTTTGAAAATAGACAATAGTTTGAGTTGGTTATAATCATTGTGGCAGATATCTCAATATAAGTTTAAAATATTGAAGGTTGTGCTGGTAGTAATAGAGCACGTACCACATCTTGTTCCTCCCTGCCATCAACCTCATCTGTTTGAAGTCTTTAAATATCTTGTTCTGCATGTTAGGATCAATGAGGCCAAAATATGTTGCTCTATAATCTGAATCAGAAGCATGAGAATAACTCTCCCACAGATCTTTGGTGTTGGAGATTCTCAACCCTCTAGTGTTCTTGCAAATTGTATAGTTCCTTTTCCAATTTGGCCGTGAAGCGGTTGAAATTGAAAGAGATGTCACAGCTTCTTTTTTTAACTTCATATTGTTCTAATAATTTTGTTATTTTAGTTATTTATGTTTTTGCATGGAGATTTTTTGTGGGTTTCTGTTTTATTTTTTCTTTTAATTTCTGGGCATATTTTTTGGTTGTGATAATGGGATGGAGGTTGTAGGTTGCTGAAAGGAATGAGATAGAGATTATGGTGCCTTTTTCCCATTCTTGAATTTGTAGGAAAAATGTGTAAAACAATATATATTATATAAGTAATTAGAAAACACTATAACTGATTTAACTGGTTGCGTACATTTTTATCTCTACCTTTCAATTATTTACGAATAAATGTCATTTTGAATGTAAAGTTTTCATGGTGAAACAAATGAAAAGATAGCCCACCCTGGCTTCTGCCTATAATTAAAAATGACCTTAAAATGTTGTATATAATGACTTGAAAAAGAGAGTGACTTTATTATTTTCATTCATATCAATTATATTCTCCTTACCTCTATTTGTAGCAATCTAATCATCTAAAAAAGGGAAATAAGGAAACAATATATTGAAAAATAATCTAGAAGATACTACAAATATTTTATCTAATTAGGAAGATTCTATATATATTTTCTCTAATTAAGAAGATTTTATAGATATTTTTTCTAATTACAACATAATGCTATATATTTTATTAAGAGTTATGTTGTAAGTAGGATATTAAATGCATTATCGGATGCTGTTAGAATATTAAATATATTACTAGAAGCTAATAGAAGTTGTTAGAAGATTCAAGAGATCTCTTTGTAGTTATTACTTAGAGTTCTCTATATATATACAGACTAATGTACTGTTTCAAATGAATCAATTGAATAAATTTTATTTTTCTTTTATATTAATTCTTTCAACATAAGTAAAAAAGAAACATAATTGAGTATGTATATGTTTATGTCATGTATATAATCTACATCATAGATAGACCACCTCATCTACATCTATATGGTCTAACGATTTTATCTTTTATCAGGTCGGCCTGTTGGTTGTTGTTTCACCTTTGATTAGAATACATAATGGAACTGGATTTTCAATGGAACTTCAATTCCAGCGGCTTGAGCCAAAGGAAGATGAGTTTGCATCTCTGTTGTTAAGACCAGGCGATTATATTGATGATTCTATGGCTATGTTTGATGCCATAAACTTCTCTGGGGGAGTAAAGAGGGCTTTAATTTCTTTGAGTGTTGGTATACATTTTCACTATATGTACTTTTATTGACTTTTCCTTTTCATTTCACAACTTTTGTTCTATTCGCAATTCTCAGCTATTCACACCTAGAAGTTATAATCAAGGTTGTCAAACTTGAAAATTAACTTAAACTCATGAAAGCTTGGTAAACTCAAATAGTAAACCCGTTGTCCATTCACTATAATGCATTGTTTTACTACATAAAAGTAAAACATGAATATGAAAGTGTATGTTGCTGCTCTTGGTATTGGTAGCCCTTCTATGCTGGTTAATAATATTGCATTCTCATTCTCAATTTCGTTAGTTCCACTTCTTAACCGTTCAGATATACATCAACACCAGAAAAAGGAAGAAATTTTTAGCTCAAGGGACTTCACAAGGGTCCTCTAGTCATTGGATTTAGTATCAATTTCAAATTATAAATTTAGTATTAGGTTAGGAGGAAAAAGGAAAGACATATAAAACTGATTTTGTTATTGATATGTGTTAGAATCTTTTTATCTTGATTATTTCTATTAAAGTCTTTACTTTTATTAATTATATTTTTTCTTTATTTAGGAGATTATAATTATCAGGTATGATTAGGATATCCCTGAAATATAGGGATTCTTTCTGTAGGAGTTATTATTATACTTCCTAAAATAGCTTTCTAGCATTGTATATATGGATTTGTAATCTCAGCATAATAAGATATACGTGTTACCCTAAATTATGAGATGGCATCAGAGCTCTTAACATCTGGGAGCCGCCTCTGACTGCACACTAAAACCCTAGCCGGAAGCCTTCATTGCTGCCACTCTCTCTTTCAAAACAACCTTAATTGTTGTTGCCAACACAACTCTACACCGTAGCCTTCATTGCTGCAGTGTTTTTTCTTTTGTAGTGCTTTTCCTTTCAAATCTCTTCTCACTACATTACCATCGTTCTGTTGCTTGGACATGGCAAACCACACGGTTGAAGTGCTCCTACTGCATCACAAACCAATCAGGAACAACTCCAGAACCTCAACATTGCCTATCGCTTAAATGGGACGAATTATTTGAAATGGGCCTAGCTTGTTCGCAAAACTTTAAAAGGTAAAGGGAAAGCTAACCACTTGACTGATGATGCTCCTCTAGAAGACGATCCCAGATTTACAAAATGGGATAAAGAAGACTCTATGATCATGGCATGGCTATGGAACTCCATAATCCCAGAAATTACTGATACTTGCATGTTTCTTAATTCTACAAAGGAGATTTGGAATGCAGTGGACCAGACATACTCAAAAGCTAAAGATGCTGCCCAAATATATGATAGGAAGGTGAAGACTGTCGCTGCCAAACAAGGAACCAAAACTGTTACAGAGTATGCCAATCAACTCAAATCATTGTGGATGGAATTAGACCATTACAGGGTCATCAACCAAGTGCTCAGATGATTCTGCCATACTCAAAGAGTATATTGAGATGGATAGAGTCTATGATTTTTTGGTAAGGCTTAACTCTGATTTTGATTAAGTGAGAGTCGAGATTCTTGGAAAGGACAAAATTCCAGGAATTAATGAAATGGTAGCTATGGTAAGAAGTGAAGAAAGCAGAAGGGGAATAATGCTAGAATCCCCAACCATGGAAAACTCAGCCATGGTAGCTACCGGATCGGCCAAGATGGTTGATGCCCAAAAGGGGGACTCACCAATATGGAAAAGAAAAATGAAGGAGTGTGGTGTACCTTCTGTAACAAACCTTGCCACACTCGTGATAAATGTTGGAAGCTACATGGAAAGCCTCCTAGTCGAGATTGGGGATCCCAAAATCGTAAAAAGGAGTGGGAAAAAGAGGCGACAACAGTAGAAAGAATGGACAAGCACACGTAGGTGCTGCAAAACATGAAGAAAATAGTAGCGGACCAATTCCACTTAACCAGGATGAGGTTCAACAAATGCGCTCCTTCCTTAACAAGTTGGATAAATCACTAGGTAGTTGTTCTCTAGCACATTCAGGTACATTTGGCAAGTTTCCTTCTTTTGGACTTAATGCCTCAGATAAACAACCTAACCCATATTGGATACTAGATTTTGGGGCTACCGACCATATGACACCCTTATCTAACATTTTTTCTCCTCTTACATTCCTTGCCCTAGCAACAAGAAAATATCCTTAGCTGATGGCTCTCTAATGACTGCAGCGGGTCAAGGAGATGTTCAAATAAGCCCATTTATCACCCTTAAAAATGTCATTCATATTCCTAAATTATCTGTTAGTTTAGTCTCCATTAAAAAACTCATACACGATCTCTCATGCAATGTTATTTTTTCTAACAATGATTGTATCATACAGAACCAACAATCGGGGAGAATGATTGGACATGCTGGAGGCTGTAATGGCTTGTATTACTTGGACAATCCAAATCTGCCATCAACCCTGGGAAATAGCAACTCTTTTTTCTTTGATTCAGTAAAGACCAGTAGGGAGAAGGTCTTCCTACATCATTGTCATCTTGGACATCCTTCCTTTAGGGTCATAAAATTATTATTCCCTTCCCTTTTTAGCAAATTGGATGTGGCAAGTCTCAATTGTGAAGTGTGTGAACTTGCTAAACACAAACGTGTTTCTTTCCCTGTTAGTAATAATAAAAGCACTTTTCCCTTCTATTTAATTCATACTGATGTATGGGTTCCTCAAATGTCACAAATGTTTCTGGTGCTCGTTGGTTTATTACCTTCATAGATGATTACACTCCTGTCACATGGGTTTTCTTCCTAAAACAAAAATCTGAAGTAAGCTCTGTGGTTCAAAGTTTTTTCTCAATGGTAAAAAATCAATTTGGTGTTAGCATTAAGAGGATTAGATCTGATAAGGCCAAAGATTACTTCAATCATGGGCTTATTTCTTTTGTCAAAAGGAAGGTATCATTCATGAGTCCTCTTGTGTCAAAACTCCTCAACAAAATGGGATTGCAGAGAGGAAAAATGGACACCTTGTTGACCAAACTAGAGCTCTCCTTTTTCAACATAAGGTTCCTAAAAGTTTTTGGAGGGAGGTTGTTCTCACTGTCTGTTATCTAATTAATAGACTACCTTCTAGTATTCTAGCTTCCAAAAGCCCTATGGACGTTTTGTCATCCTTTTATCCTAATATGTCCACATCCAACCACCTTGTTCCATGCATCTTTGGTTGTGTCTCTTTTGTCCATGTCCACAGTAGTGATAGAGGTAAACTTGATCCTAGAGACTTAAAATGTGTTTTCATAGGGTACTCATCCACACAAAAGGGATATAAATGCTATCACCCACCATCCAAAAAGTTCTGTCTCGTGATGTCACCTTTTTTTAGCACAAAAGTTACTTCTATAAAGATCATCTTCAGAGGGAGACTACACCAAATGAAGATGATATCCTTATGCTTCCTGACTTAAGCTTAGGACCAGAAATAAGGACTAAAAGTATAACAGTTGAGACTCAAGATGGGGCTAATGTAAGATTTGATAAAATCTGGTTTATACAAGGAAGACAGAGACCATTCCAGAGTCTGTCCATGTTCAACCATCCAACCCAACATTACATGAGGTAACTATCCCTACTCCTTTAATCTCCAATGCATCAAACTCTGTTTTTCCAGATATACATGAATTTGAATCCAGTCCAGCATCCCTTTACGAGGACCTAGATATTCCAATTGCCCTTAGGAAAGAGACTAGGAAATGCACTACCAAGCCATTGTACCCTCTAGCTAATTACCTATCCTTTAAAAACTTTTCACCTACCTGTAAAGCCTTCCTCACAAACTTAAACACCACAACCACACCTACCTCTTTATCTGAGGCATTGAGTAATAAAAAGTGGAAACAAGCTATGGACATGGAAATGGAAGCACTAGAAAAGAATAGTACTTGGGATTTGGTGGCTCTCCCGAATGGAAAAAGACCAGTTGGGTGAAGGTGGATATATACTATAAAATACAAGGCTAATTTGTACTCCATATGTCTCTTCACAAGACAACCTTGCAGATATTCTAACAAAGGGGCTGAACAGTAACAACTTCGAAAGTATTGTTTCCAAGCTGGGAATGGAAAATACCTATTCACCAGCTTGAGGGGGAGTGTTACAATCTTTTTATCTGTATTATTTCTATTAAAGTCTTTGCTTTTATTGATTATATTTCTTCCTTATTTAGGAGATTATAATTATCAGGTATGATTAGGATATCCCTGAAATATAGGGATTCTTTCTTTAGGAGTTATTATTATACTTCCTAAAATAGTTCTCTAGCATTGTATATATGGATTTGTAATCTCAGCATAATAAGATATACGTTTTACCCTAAATTATGAGAGTATGAGTGTTTGATACATGAACACTAAATTTAGTCTAATTAAGGAATTGCAACAGAATATGAATTGTACAAATCTAGTGTAATCAAAATTTTCCTAAATATGGGTTTAATCTCTTATAATTATTGTAATTACACTACATGACTGTCTCTTTTGCAGTTGCTTCGCTAGATGCATCAACAAATGGGTTTAGTTCAGTAGCATATTATGTCTTTGATCAACAGATCTTTTTATTTTATTCTGGATAAATACGTTTTCTCCAACAGATCTGTCATTATTTGTTTTCCCAAGATAGTAGTACCATTTAAAATTTATCCTGATATGGAGTTTGGTGATTATTTTTCAGGTAACTTCTTATTTTCATTTAGACCCAAAATAGCAGAGGAGCTGATTAATTCTGAAAGTTCTCTTTCTTTGGAATGGTCGGATTATATTAAAGGTGGAAAAGCTGTTCATCTATCAGGAATATTTAATAAATTGAACTACAGAATTCGCAAGGCATTATTTGAAAAATCAGTCAAGTGTTCCTTTAGCACATCATGTTGCACCCTCAAGTCTGAGGGGAAGAATATTGCAAATATGCATTTTCTCATTCAAACAATTGCTACGGAAATCCCTATTGTACCCGAAAAGTCTGCTGCTGTGTTGAAAAATGATAATCCAACAGTTTCATTGCTAGAAAAGAAAGAAATATATCTTCTTCCTACTGTGCGGGTGACTAATTTATTGCATTCTGAGATAGATGTCATTCTAAGTGAAACAGGTATAAAATGAAAGCATTCACAAATATATTAGTTTTAATTCTGTATTAATTTTTAATGTTAATTATGGTGAAGATCAGTCAAATCTGGTTGGATATGACAAAATTGGGAAGCAGGCGATTATAACATGTGGTTCCACAGTTGACTTTTATGCCAATCCAGAAGTTATATACTTCACTGTGTCTCTACCTTCTTCCAATTCAAGTTCCAAGCCAGTAAATAGTGGAGACTGTATGAAGAAGTTTCTGAAGCAGAACAATGATGTCCATCATCTGGATATAAATTTGGACTTTGGAGGAAATTTTTTTGCAACCTTGAGATTGTACCGTGGAAACAGGGGCGTACTGGAGGTTATTCTGCTAGCCTTTGCTTTCATTCTGTGAATATATATAAGTGAAGTCTACATATATATATTGATTCAGTTACTCTAGTTTCTTACGAGTCCATCAATTTGCTTGCAGGTTGTCATTTTTACATCCTATTCCATTAAGAATGATACAGACTTTCAAATTTTTGTTCTTGAAACGAAAAGGTCTCCTTTATCCAGGTAATCCCACACCCTTTTTTTTCAAATTAGCAGAAACATTAGAATCATCTATATAAATTCTTGCGTATGGTTTTTCTCTCCATGTACAGAATTGAATTAGAGAACTTAAATCTGGGTGTTCCTTCAGAGCTAGGTTTATGTTTGCCACCAAAGTCGACTAGTTCATGGTTCTTGAAGTAAGATGAGTTATTATTGTTCGCTTAATGATTTAATATGTTAAACAATGCTACCTAGATTTGCCTGTTTTATAATCTTTATTTTTCCAGTGTCTTATTGGTCTCTTTGTTTCCAGATCTGAAAGAGTGCTTCTGAAGTTGCTGGAGGACCATACATCTGAGGCATTGCTTGACTTTGGTTCTCTATCAGGCCTTGCAGAGATAAGCTTTGAAAAAGAAGAGGGATCTGGAATTAAATCAGTAACAAAGCTTGGAATTTCTATAGGTCCTTCTTTAGGAGAAATTGCTGTGCCATCACAAATGGTGACCTTGGTTCCACGATATGTAATTTGCAATGAATCTGAAGAATGTATCACCATTCGCCAATGCTATTTACAGGTATGCATTATGTATGTATAATGTACCTGTTCATTTATCTCTCTCTTTTCAGTAAGTGATTTAGCTGTCTTCAAGGATGAGGTGGCAGGTGTTATCTCCATTAGCAGCAAACAGCGAAGGCCACTACAGCTGAAGGAAGGATTTAAAAAGATGAGAGAGTTCAGTGTATTTGAGCATTTTATCAGAAAGCACAGAAGTTCTAGTGACAATACCTTGTTATATGTTCAGATTCAATTAAATGAGGCTGGATTGGGATGGTCTGGGCCAGTTTGCATAGCCTCTCTAGGACATTTTTTCCTGAAATTCAAAAAACAGACTAATGAAGTTACAATATCAGACAACAAAATGACACAATTCGCAGCTGTGCATGTGGTGGAAGAAGGTTCTACACTTGTTTCAAGGTTCTACAGGCCCCCAACTATGAGCCTGCCTTATCGAATTGAGAATTGTTTGCAAAGTCTATCAATAACTTACTATCAAAAGGTGCATAAGAGTTTTCTCTGTTTTATATTTTCCCTTTATCATTTACCTTTTTTCCCATCACATCATTTGAGAAATTTCCAGGGTTTGTTGGAACCAGAAGTTCTTGGACCTGCATGCAGTGCTGATTATGTATGGGATGATTTAACCCTTCCTCGAAGATTGGTTATCTGCATCAATGGTTGTCATTTGAACCTTGTTATAGACTATTTAAGTTAACAATTCTCCGTATAACTAATTTGGAGTGGTCCTTATGATTGGCAAAGTTAAAATTTAGTAAAGCTTTGTAAAATTTGCCTGAGATTAGTATATCATAAAATTTGGGTTTGGACCTAAACCAATCCTATAAACCTGACTCGTCAGATTAGAATAGCCCAAGCTTTACTAACTCTATTTAAGTCATAAGTTTGGGACTAAATTACCACCCTTGTGGTTGCAGTTAAGGCAACCTCCAAAGAGACCACAAGCGATGTGGGCTAGGGTTGACCACTACTAAGACAACTTTCTAGCATAGTACCTTAGCCACTAAAGTATTTGATGTTCCTAAATTGGAATATTTGATACCTTTAGCTATGATTACCTCTTAAAATTTGAACTTTGGGTCTAACTCAAACCAACAAAAGTGGTTTGCAAAACTACATATGATTTGTAAGTTATATTTATGTCATATCTATAGTCAATGTAAGACTAAATCACCACGGTTAAGGTTGTAATTAAGGCAACCTCTAAAAGAGACTACAATTAAGACAACTTTTCAACACTCCCCTTAGACCGACAAAACTATTTCTCAAGGAGTTGAAGGTGATGTTGTGGTTTCTTATGTATTTGCACATGACTTACAAGTTCCAAATCTCCCACCCTTTTGAAAAGACCCAACATGTGGTATCAGAGCGGTTGGTTCAGGTGATCAACTCATGAGTATTGTTGTAGATTGGGTGAAGAATGCTTCCACTTGAGGAAGAGTGTAGCAATGTAGAAGATACTCACACTCACACTAGAGGGAGAGATTGTTGGAGTCAAGTGTGAGTTTGAGTTCTACATTTGGTAAGAATAGGCAAGAAGAGCAACATATAGAGCGAAAGCCACAAACTTATTTCCTTAAGGTAGTGTCATGGTTTCTTATATGGGTTTTCCCATGACTTGTATATCCTAAATCTACCTAGTGTCAACCCTTGAAAAAGCCCAACGGTTTTGTCATTGAAAACTATTCATGTGTGTTTTCAACATATATTTGAAATAATTTGGATTATTTGAAATTGCATCTAAACTACACACCAAATTCCTTTTTATTTGAGGTTGATTGTAAAAAGTATACAAGTGGTTATAGGAAATTTTATTCATATATACATGATATGATTTGCAACTCCAGTTTTTTAGATTTTCATCTCTCCTTGGACAACTTTTTTGCATTTAGGAGTTTTGAAGACATCTTTTACAATTTTTGGGATCTCTACGTAACAATTGTAAATTGAAATTTGGCAAGTTTTCCATGACACAATTAAATAAGGGGTGGTGGTTGCATGATCTATCCTATTTCCAAATAGCAATAGGAAGGTAAAGATAAACTAATCCAATGGGTTTTGGAATGTGAAATAGATTCAAATTCACTTTCATTTAATTGTAAAATTTCAGGATAAGAATTATGTTGTGGGTCTTCTAAGTCTTAATGTTAGAGAATCACAATTCTTCTTTAGTGAACACATCTACCCATTGGTAATTAAAGTGTCAAAGGTTAGTTGTGATTTCTCTTTAGACATCTTTCTTAGAGGGACATTCTATTTGTGTTTTTCATGGACAAATTAGATGCCATGTGTTGAGAGTCCCACATCACTTACCTCACTTGCAGTGCAAAAATAAGACTTATTTTATTATTCTGAATCATAAAAAATATATTCTCATACCCTCTATTTGTAATAATCTAATTCACCTAAAAAGAGAAATAGGGAAACTAGGAAGACTAAGAAAATAAAATAAAATAAAAGATTATGTATCTATTTCCTCTAATTAGGAAGATTCTAATGATATTATCTCAAATTACAACACTCCCCCTCAAGTTGGTAAATGAATATCAATCATTCCCAACTTTCCTACAAGATCTTGAAATCTACCCGGAGGAAGCCCTTTTGTAAAAATATTTGCTATTTGAAGTTTTGTGGGAACATGAGTTGTAATCACAAAGCCCCTGTCAAGATTATCTTTGATTAAATGTCTATCAATTTCAATGTGTTTGGTTCTGTCATGCTGTACTGAATTATGGGCTATGCTCATAGCAGACTTATTGTCACAATGTAGTTGCACCGGGTTCTCCACTTTGACTTTAAGATCCTCCAAAATGATTTTCATCCAGAGTCCTTCACACATTCCTTGAGCAAGGGCTCGAAATTCAGCTTCTACACTAGAACGGGATACTCTATCTTGCTTTTTGCTTCTCCATGTTACCAGACTATCTCCAAGAAAAACACAATACCCAGAAGTAGATTTTCTGTCAGTAATAGAACCTGCATAGTCAGCATCAATATATATCTTCATAGTCAATGTGTTTCCTGGACTTGACTTCAGGTATTGGAGAATTTTGTCAACTGCTTGCATGTGTCTCTCTCTTGGACCATGCATAAATTGGCTCACTACACTCACAGCATAAGCAATGTTTGGTCTTGTGTGTGATAGATAAATCAATTTTCCCACCAATCTGATATTAGGCCTTTTCTATAGGAGCACTTTCTTCACTTCCAATTCTGTGATTCTGTTCTATAGGAACTATTGAGGTTCTACATCCCAACTTTCCTGTTTCTTTGAGGAGATCAAGTACATATTTCCTTTGGGAGATGAAAATTCCGTTCTTGGAGTAGGCAACCTCTATTCTAAGAAAATATTTGAGTTTTC